CAAAACCTTCCACTGTTGCCGCCACTAGTAGCTCTGGTGAAGTTCAAAACTGAAGAAGACCCACAATTGACACAAGAAATGATTGCCTTGATGTGGGCTTGAATAGCATGGCTGTAGCCCGAATATTAAGTAATCATGTGAAATACACGAAGAAATCTGCTCGGTGGGTACCACGAATTTTAAATGAGGCCCAAAAAGAGGCTCGAGTGCATTTTACTCAACTTTTCCTAAACAAATTCGAAAATGGTCAGTCCAGCAAACTTTAGTAAAGTCGTTACTGGTGACGAATCTTGGTTCTTTATGTACGATCCAATCCAGGAACCAAAGAGCAGTTCATGGTATGGAGCCCACCAGGAGTGAACTCACCAGTAAAATCGAGGCAACAAAATCAGCAGCAAAAGTAATGATGTCAGTTTAGTTCGTCCGATCTCAAATCGTAGCTGCTATTCCACTATAGATGGGTCTGACGGTAACTACAAAATGGTGCGCCGAAGAGTGTTTACCACAAGTTTTTAAAAACTTGTTGGAAAACGGGAAGACAATGGATTTGTGGCGCTACTTCTTACATCATGACAACGCGCCATCCTACACTGCTGAGATAACAAGTAATTTTATTGCGATCTCTGCGATCGAGAAATACTTCTACGTCCAGCACCATGTTAACCGGATATAGCGCCTTGTGATTTCCAAAAATTAAAAAAAAATTCAAAAGGAAAGTTCTTTAATAGCAACGACGGGATAATTATTACGGTTAATGCTGAACGTGATGAGCTTAACAAGCAAGATTTTGAAGACTGTTTTCAGAAGTGGATCTAGAGGCTTAAGAGATGCATAGAAATCAATGACGGTTATGCAGCGAAGATAGATAAGGCCAAAGATTACGAGTAAATAAAAAAAAAAATTTCGGGACGACTTACCGACCTTTGTTAATCCCCCTGTAGCAATGAACGTAGTTTTGCGTACCTCAACACATCGTAACTGAGAATGGAACTTAGACGTGGCCTGGTAGATATAAGAACAACTCATGGTGATGGAATAATTTCCACCCTCTGGTGAACTGCTAAACAAATTACCAACTGGTATAATCCTAGCCTACCGGCTCCCTACAGGGAAGACATGAAGGCAATGGCTGCGGGTCACAAGCAGTGCCACAAGCGGTGCCATTGTTGAGTCGGTGGGACTAGTCAATAATAAAATAAGCGTGACAAATGAAATTGATTTTTAATTTCACTTGTAAACGCAGTCTAACATGCAGTGATATTTTTTCTTTTTTATTGTTGTTTCATTCTTTTATTGCTTGGAGGGCGTCCTCTGCAGGCGTGAAGGCGTGAATGAATGAATGAATGAGTGTGAAAGTGAGCTGCCTCATTTATTCTTGCTGATAAAAGCGGCTGATTTAAGCAAAAGTTTTCGCCATTTTATTGCAGTGAAAGTTTTCTCAGATTATTTTCGATTTTTTTCAGTTGGGGGTTTTGTCATTTACAAGAAACAAAATGTCAGTTTTATACTATAAATTTCGTTGCTTAATTTATGCAGAATGAAATGTTAAGTTTCTAGTATACATTTGCGTGCTGATTTTATGTGAAATAAAAAGTTGCTACTGAGTTCATTGCACTTATTCGAAAAGTTTTATTGCCAACGGCGCAAGTTAGGTTAGGTTGGAGGGGTGGATGACTTCGCTATAACGACGGTTCCTGGATAAACTTCATCAGATCAATTAAGTGGTTACAGAGCCTTAAAAGTTTACCCTTTTTATTGTCTTATAAATTTCTAGAACATTCCGACAATATTACTGTAAGCTTAAAGTCGCTCCGAATAACAGTTTTGGTTTGGGAGGGTCACGCTCAAAGTTCAGCAGGCTCAACATTTCAAACTTTAAACGGGGGTTTCTTTCAATTGTGTTCTCCAAGTCAACTTGGAGGGAAATTTTATACATGTCTTCGGAATACAATTCACGAGAAATTGAATCTTTAATCTTTAATCACCGCTATTTAAAAATAAAAAAATTTGGTTTTTTTTTTTGAAAAAATCTTCCAAGAAAATTAACTTTTCCTTTCTAATTTTAGTTTGTCAAAGTCCAGATTACAGTTATAGCTAACGCATGAGCTTTTTTCATAACAGATGATGCCGCCATGAGCTCCACTGTCAACGAGGACGCACCTACTTGCCGACGGATCCCCGAAAATGACGTAACCGCGGCGAGATTATGAAAATTTTGCTTTGAAAATTTTAAAAATTCCTCATTCAAATGCATATCTTGAAGACAGTAAAAGTTTGTATTGAATATTTTATTTTTTAAATAAAAAAATGAAAATTATTTAAAAGAAAATTTTTCCTTGAGAAGGCTCGTCACGCAATTTCACTAAAGCAGCTCAGAGCTGCATGGTTGCATATAAAATAAGTAATCGTTTCCTCTTAATCATCATTCTTAAGGCTTCTGCAGCATATATTCCGTACCCAGTTACTCTGCATATCTTCCTAACAGATAATAGGTTCTCGGTACAGGTATTACCTTGTAGATGTCCCTTCATTTTAATAAGTGAATTTCGTCTGATCTTGTCTCATGTTATCGCGATCATATTTGTCTAACTTTTTGCGAAGCCATTGCGTGATTCCACCTTAATTGGACCTCTTCTCAAGTAAGCTCACACAGTAGCAATGGGCGCGTGCTAAAATTCAGACCCTTTGATCGACACGAGTCTGTTTGGTCATACCTTGCTTAGCAAGTTCGTCCACCTAATAATTGCCCACGACTTCTTTCTGACCAGTGATTTCAGTGAGAGAGAATCTATCTGTTTTTGACCATCTTCTTCAGATCTCGGCGTTAGTTAAGCACAACTTTGAAGTTTGTTGTAAGTCTGCCAAGAGATTTTATTGTAGCCTGGCCGAGGATGAATAAATTTCTTTAAGGCTGCTTAAATTTGCTTTGATGTTACCATGCTAGCGGAAATCTCTTCCAGAAAAACCCTGACATGATTCTGTACCCTAACTTAGAGTCTCGAGGGGGCAGTTCATGTTTAAACAACATCACAAAAATCTCCAGTCAAGTTTGCGATTCATCCGGGCGTGCATAGACACTGCTAGCAGAACGTATTCTTGTTCTGGAGTACAATTTATTTAATGCCAACGACCTGTGTTATTTAGCGTAAGGGAGATTTTGGGAAGAACTTCCGAGTTCCACACTTTGAAAAGCGGCTACTGTCATTTCGAAGGTTCGGGTTCAAATCACGTTGTCACCAACATCCAAGTTATTATAAATAAAAATTAAACTAATTTTTCTAATTATGGTCGCCCCTGGAAAGGGAATGTCAAACCCTCCGTGTGAATTTCTGACATGGAATAAAGCTGCTCATAAAAAACCCCCAGCCGTTCGGAGGCGGCTTAGTATAAACCGTAGGTTTAAAAAAAAAATTGCACGAGCGTTACCAAGCGCCAATTATATGTAAATAGTTAACGGAGCCATTGATCGGAGAATAATTCACAATAAGACTTGCTGCTAAGTATAAATTAAAAGAAATAAAGCACTGTATGATTCTCCTCAATCTATCGTTATTGTTGTTGTCAAAGCGGCGATCTAACCCCTCCTAAGTGCCGGCGAGACTAGTCTAGATTATCGAGGTCATCTAACAGGAGACCCAGAGTTCGGTTCGAAGTTAAAGGGGAGTAAATTATTAGATGTAGACCATACGTTGGGTATGTCAGGGTCAAGTGAATAAGTAGGATTTGAGTCAACTACAATATCCAAGCTTAAATGTCTAAGTATTACTGAAAAGAGTTTAAAAAGGCGGTACGCTGTCCTGTCCAGCGTTTCTGGTTTATAGTACTGAATGGAGTCGGTATAGTGCTGATGTGCCTAGGTGGAGGTTCAGTTTCAAGTAAATTTCTGTCAGAGTAGCATTCCAGGAGATATTGCTTGCCTAGCATAGAATTAGGTTCATTAACTCGTAGCACAGATAATTCGCTGCACAAATGGTACTGCGATGACTTCAGGAGGTTTGCTGTCACGGTCCTAAAGGTGGCGCACAAATTGGGAGCAACGTAATTGACGACTGGTTGGCCAATTGTCTTGTACTTGTATGTTGCGAGCAACGTTTCTTCGTCTTTTTCCTACCGGCTAACGCTTTGGACTTGTACATCGAGTTCGAGTCGGCACTCTTTTGTCCAACTGGTGAAAAAGATATCCGAGGATTTGTAGCTAAAAAATGTCGTTAAGTAAAAAAATGGGTTGGGTCGATGAGATAGTAGTTTAGTTTCGAACATAAGCTTCTCTTCGAAAGTGAAAACTTCGTCGTACTATTCGATGAGTTTAAATAATCGAGCAAACGCTTCCTAGACATACAGTAGCGTTTCACAGAGAAGCAACCAACGAGCCTACTCAATGCTTAAAATGCGGTCGCTTGCTGTCATGGCCATTAGTCACCTCTCTCAATCAATCTACGAAGAGTTTTGTGAAATAAATGTTGATGTTTCGTTGAGATAATAATTTTTGCGATAGACATAATGAGGAAGATGTCTAAATGAACTCAGCCTGACAGTTTGTATTCACTGAAGAGATTTTCGGCTGAACTCCTCTTCCAGTTTGTGGTAAGCATTTTGACAGTTTATCTGAGCCGATTCCGTCTGGCCTATAGATTTTTATGAGAAGCTTTCATTTTTTGTGAGAAATATACACAGAGAGCGTGATTTTCCCTGCCGAGGGTCGACGCCAATTAATTCTCTATTGCGTGTATTTTGGCTGTTGGTCGCGCCAGTACTCGAACCCTGGCATTCCGAATGGATAACTGCCTAACCTGATTTCCATTTTGCTCCCATCAACAACGCGGGCAGAGAAACAAAGAGAGAGTTCGACTTTACATTAATAATTTGGGCAAAACTAATTTTAAACTTCATCACCATCATTCATCAGAGCAACTCATTTCGTAGCATAACAAAGCCTTTTTGTGTCAATAAAATCTAAAAATTCTCAAAATAATTTTCAAATTAACTTTCCACAAATTTACCTCGGTGCCGGCTCCAGTGTACACTGCACAAAATCCGATAGATACGTAGCACCTTCGGCATCAGCAACTGGTGTTGCAAGCCGCTGCTCCTCGTCTGCCGAAGTGTTGGCCAACAACTGACCTTGCTCTGGCTTTTTACCAGACTTTTCACAGCTCTTGCCTCGGCCGCCAACAACACTAAACTTTTTTTTATTCTTCTGGTGTTGCATGCCGGTCGTGCAATTAAAACTTTCACCTACCACTGAGTGCTATTGCTGATGCGTGTTGTGCAAGTTCGCAAACGCATTATGCATAATTTTCATAATTTTTCATTTTATTATTATTACACAGGATAATTGGCGCAGTATGAGTAACAAAAAAAAAAAAAAGAAAATATATATATATATATATATAAATAAATAAGTTGTTTTTGCAACGTAAACTTTCGTTTGTATTTTTCTGTTTTAATTGTCAAATTATGACTTTTTGATTGCTTATAACAGTGTAGGGAAAAACACAAAACATCAACAACAACCACAACTAGAACAGGAACAATTTGTACGCACTCAACACCCAATGTGCAATGCAAATATTTGCACTGTGACTCTGCACTCGCTGCCTCCTTTCGAATTGTCGACTTGCTGACTGACCGTGTAACGGTCTAAGTTGTTAATGACACACGACTGACATGCCACCGCTTTCACTGTCATAGGAGTAGCTGCGTTGGCAGTCATTTAAACCAGATCGTTATGGCGCTATGAAAATATAAAAAACTAAAGTAAATATGTAACGCTCAACGTCCTTCGTCTTCTATGTACGCCGTCTGCAAATCTTTTCGCACAAGGATTTTTATATGCTGTTGGATTTTATTGTATTCTCATTCAATGTTATTTACTTTTTATGCCTTTGCTTTAGTTACTTTTTTTGTTTTCAGCTTGTAACACATATAAGTTTATTTATTTACTTATTCACATACATATATGTACATATGTATATTCTTTATTTATTTTCCATTTTTGCACACTCTGCATATGAGCGGCCCCTCCCACTTCGGCCAATGTGAGCCACATGATTTTGTTTACTTTCCTTTGGCATGAAATCTCCGCAACTCGTTATTGGCTACAGTTGAGTGTGAAACAGCAAGACAATAACAATGCACATATGTACATACATATAATATCTACTAGTTGTCACAATTGTCAGCTCGCATTGTGTAGAGTATGTGAAGAGTAGGTAACTAATAAAAAATAACATGCGAATGTGACAATTTGCATATGAAAATAAATTTTATGTGGAAATGCTTGACTTCATGCATACATACGTACATACACACATACATATGTAAGAAAGATTTTGCTTGTCTAAGCCTGGTCTTTATGGAACTTTCTGTAAAATTTGTATTTCGTTTCGTTAATAGGCTGATAGTAAAAAGTTTCTTAACATTATTAAATATTAGGTGAAGTAAAAAATAAACCAGAAACTCTTGTCGCTATTGGCAAAAAGTTGGCTCGGTCGATTTTCACCTTGTCCTTGCTGTGCGACCAATTATTTAACCGCAAAATCATTCATCATAGACAATAAAGCATAGCAGTCATTTGGTGTGAAGTCCGCACTATTAGGCGGATGCATAAGAGCCTACTAAAAAAGCAAACAAAGCTTCTGGCTAGCTTCTAAAGTTGTCCTGATGAAAAAGTAATTCCTTCCCTTCTATATATAATTTGCGCTTCGTAACCGCTGAAGTGATTTTCGGCCGAGCTCCTCCTCCACCAAATGCAGGGACCTACAATTTATACTAAACCGCCTCCGAAGGGCTGTTGGTGTTTTTTATGAGGAGCCTGGTCCCCCTCACCCTTCCCCTCTATGTGTCTAAATTAAGAGTTCATAGTACATGATCCATTGACAGTTCTATCAAAGACACAAGAATACCTGCTTGGTCGTAAATCTTGGCTTGGTGCCCGTTTATGCCGGCTCATTGTCTTTCGACCACAACCGACGGCGTTTAGCTGTAAGTGAACCAGTTTTAATCACCAGTCAACCACCAAACGCTTTAGAAATGGTTCGAGCGAATCTTACGATTCAACAGTATTGTGCTGATAGGGAATTCGGTCCATGAGGTTTTTTTTCACTAACTCATATGGCACATATAAATGGATCCTTTTTGCGTGATTCCAAGTTTGCATGATGATCAGGCTCTAAGATTTTCCTTATTTTATCGACATTTCGACTTCGATTCCATGAAAATTACGGGAATAAAATCGGCGAAACCGAAATAGTGCATGGCAGACTGTGATATTATCAGTACCAAAACCACTGTTGTCATCTTCAGTTGCCTAGTTTAGAATACAGGGTGCTCCATCTTTTATGCCGGTATATAAGCGCCGAATAACTTTCACATTTACCAACGGAGCGATTGCATCAGATATTTTTTGGAAGCGTCGATTCATTACAATTTTTTCCACAAGCCGCTGATATAGCGACACCCTAAATCGAAAACAGTCGTTAATTCGATGTGCATATCTGACAGATAACGTGAGTTAATTGTAAGGAGCCAAGCTGCGTAAAAATGCATCGCTTATAGAATCCGGTTGTTCTGTTATCAAAGGAATTCAATGTTTACATACTGACATAAAAGATGGAGCACCCTGTATTCTAAACTAGGCAACTGAAGATGACAACTTTTTCTGGTTGCAGGTGTCCATCTTTGCCATACGCTCTAGCACTACTCAGTTAAGTGATCAACACCTCACCCATTATCATATTTACTACAAAATATCATCTTTCTAACGCCATTCAGCGTAGTTATAGAACGTGAGATACAGTTCACTAAAGTCATCTATTTCAAAAATAATGATTACTTTTTATTTCACCAATATTTTTGTGATCTTTATTCTTTGGTTGTTAAGGGCTTAATCTCCTGTTTTTTCAGCAATTATTTTGAAAGGGAAGGAACTTATTGCGGTAAATGAAACCTTCATACAATAGTTTACTATATTTAAGCTTGAAAAAAAAAATTGTACAAAAAAATTTTGGAACTTCCCAATGTTGTGATGAATTATCTGTAGCGGCTGCAGTCTGTAATGGAGGCCATACTTAGCATTTGAAACAATCGAACAAAAGCAGTTGGAAAATTCCATTTTTTTTACGAAGATTGAAAATAATTTAACTTTTTGAAAGAAAAAAATATCAAGTTTACAAAAAACTCGTTCAAATAATACGTTTGTCCAACTAGTAATTTAATACTGAAGCCAGATCACTTTGAGTTTTTTTTTTTCGTCGGACATATATTCTTCTTTGGCGGCTGCGGTAGCCGAGTGGTTAGCATTGCGTATTGCCATTCGGAAGGCTCGGATTCAAATCTTGTTACGACTAACATTCAAAAATTTATAAAAATTCTTTTAAATAAAAAATTTAAGTTACATTTTTTTTTAGTGTGGCCGCCCCTTGAGTTATGTAAACCTTTCTTTAAATACATAAAAAATAAAAAGAAATAAATCCCTTTTTATTTCATTTTCTGCAGAGAATGTCAAACCCTCCGAGTGTATTTCTCACATAAAGTAAGAGCTCAAGATAAACATCAAGATGTAAAACCCACAAATTGGTACTATTTTCGAAGACTCCTAAAAAAGAAAACTCTATGAAACGCGCTTTAAAGTTCCGCTCGAGCATTCGGCCATAAAAACTACTGTAGCCACTCTTGTATTCTTGGCTGGTTTTATAATGGATTTAAGCAAAAAAATGAATTTTTTGAAGCATCTAAAGCAGAATATTGTGTTGAGCGCTTACTAAAAATCATTATGTTGTACTGTGGTTAATAGTTAAAAAATTATGAAATGAAATGAAAATATTATTTTTTGCTTTTTTTTTAAATGATTTTAAATAATAACTTTTTGTTCCGTAATCTATTTTCTACAATATACGGCATTTCGTTTATTTTTTTTTTTTGTTTTTTAGTACTCCTATGCATTTAAGGAAAGATTGTGCATATTGGACTAATGCATCTTCCCACCTTTCCTACCTCTCAGGATGCTTTTTCCAACTCTCGATGCGATCAACTTTAAGCTTTATCCTTTTCAAATAAAGATTATATGTCTTTCATAATCATTATTTTTTGTACGTAACTTCTGATAGGCGAAGAAACTAATCCATTAAAATTAATTTGATTTCATGGAAATAAGAATTATTACTGTGAGCCGAAAAAATATCGCACAGAAAGAAGTCATAATTTTTTAAAGTTAAATTTTCGCTCTAGCTTCGATAACTTCTTCTTCAACCATACAGTTTATGAGCTTACATATCAATAATTATGGAAATTTCGCCGAAAAAGGATAGTCCGAGCGTGAGCATATTTTTTCAATCACAATAATAATAATTATTTTGTCTTATAAGTTTTTAGTCAGCTGAAGACCTTTTAACTTATAACAAATTAATTGTACAGACCGCAAAAACAATTAAGCAAAACTAAAAAAACTATAAAAAAAATTGTAAATATAGTAGAATAATAATTAAGTTAATACTACAATTCCTGTTACTAAAAATCAAACTAGTTAATTTATAATCAATTTAAGAATTCTTAACTTAAAAATGAAAAGTTCGCCATGGCGTATGCGCAACATTTAGTCAAAAGCGAGTAAATGCAATAAAGTTGAATTGAAATCTTTTTTTTTTTCGAGAAAAGAGTACAATATAAAATCGCAAAATTTTGCTGAAATCACAATAAACGTAAAGATCATAACTTTTTATTTGCCCTTACCACACTCCGCTAGCATCTAACAAGTGGAGGCAGTTCATCGACGCCAATGATATGGATACGGATGGTGGTATGTGCGGTGGTAGGTCAACTGGACATATCCTTTAGAAGGGTTTTTAACCATTCGTTAAGTAAAGAGCTGACAAGTGGCTAAAGTGAGGATCTACCCAAGCGTAGAAGAAACCATGGTTTTCCGGAGCTGTCTGTCGAGAAATCTACTTGCAATTTGAAAATTTTTCATTTTCTCTGTTGGCTACTACATCTCTTCCAACTTTGACTAAGTTCATTAGAAATTTTAAATGATTTGAATGCACCGTTGAAATGTGATAACAAGAAAATTAAGGTGTAACGATAAAGGTTTCCAAGTTAATATCTTCCGAACAGCACCTGGTTTCCTTCTTCAATGCCGATTAAGTAATTATAGTCGAATCAATAGTAGCGCCAGTCCTGCCTTTTTATCGTAGCTTAGACATACCAAGTGAAACTAGATCATTCACTATTTGATTTTACCAGATTAGGTGTCTGATCCTTCTTCTGCAAAACCACTCTCTGGAAAAACTGTGAGCGACGACTTATGCTGACATCGTCCACCCTTCTACATCATATAATATATCAGGATGAG